TGTTAAATAGTTTTGTAAATTTAATATGGCAACATTAGTGTTTATTTCATCAGTCTCTGCAATAGTGGATTGAAATACCAATATGAATCGAGCCACAGTTCTGATGTAATTATTGTGTCAGTCCAACTATTGGGAGTTTTTTTGTGTCTCTCACAAGGGAGCCTGTGCACTGCTGAGCAGGATATCACAAAAACAAATGTGTTTGCTTTGGTTTGATGTTAATTCTGGAAACAAAACTAAACAAAACACAAATACGCATACAAGAGGAAGCCGACAAACCAAACCTACGCAAAAGTTTGCAGGAAAGGAAAACAAGCATGCTGGGGTTGAGGGTCAGGCTAGAAAAGCGTATCATTCTGTCAAGCCATTTTATTTAGCCTGCCCACATGGTTAGAGTTGTTGATGTTTTAAGTGGGAGCAGAAGGATTTTTAGTCCCCGTGAAAAGATGACAGTAGAGACTAATTGCTCAAAGAGCAGTGTCTGTTTATTCCAGATAAATCTTGCCCACCCTCCGGCATCATTTTATTTTAATTTGAAGTGGTGAATTTTTGCAAAAAAACTGTTGAGAGAGAATGTTCAAATTAAATTGCTGAATATTTAATGTCACTCTTATGTTGGACAATTTATTATGCAATTATTTGATATGAAGTCTTTCTTTCGAAACACAGCCATTTCCTTTCGTATAATGTAGCCTTTGAGTACAGCAATCTTTATTACACAAAAGAATACATCTTCTAGGAGGCCTTTACAGGACTATGGAAGGTCTCTACACTTTAAATGACAGGTAGTGGGGAAAAAAAGGTTAAATTAAGTTTCACTGGATGTCTCACTTGAAGAGCATTAACTTATTTATAAATTTCTACTGATTTGTGCTTTCACAAGAAGCACAAATCAGACAGATGGAATGGGAACGGTTTATGAGAAATGAGGCCAGACAACTTTGCTGCTTTACAACAAGAAAAAAAAAGAAGTAACAAACTGTTTGGATGACTACACACACTGAACGCACACATCGTCAGTGTAATCTTTTCCCCAGCACAATGTTGTTGATGCAGATCTGGCTGTCGGTGACATGCAGAGAATGTTTTGCATTCATTCCTTCGTGAATTGGTGTCAAAAAGCCTCGGAGGCTTCTTAATCCTTCTACATCAATATAGGACACGTTTCCCATAAATTACAATGGTGTACTCGCATAATTACTGTGGCCCCCATGTTACATAAACAACCAGATGATGCTGATGAGGTAGGATCCTTCACTACTTGAGTGAATGTATATCAAGTTTGACTTTATAGTGGATTTTGAAGGGTGTTGTGTGAGTCTTTCTGATGAGCTGGGTGCTCATTATACATACACATGGGGCTTTTTGTGTAATGAGAAAAATGCTTCTAGTTTGTTTTTTTATATCAACAATGGATCACCTGAGGTGGTGATTAACCCGCAGAGAGTTATCACTGGACCCTGCAGTGTCTCTCAGCTCTAAGGAGCATGCAAGCTCTTTTCACTCTGGTCTTTTAACTCTGGTCCACAACTTTACAGTTTTGTTTCTCACTATCACTGTCGTTTGTGGCCACAAAAGGCGGTGAACAAGCTCTAAAAACCCACTGTACGCAGCAAACCCTACACCAAAAGGCAGACAAACAAAGTTGATGACTAGCAGGTGAACACAGTGCAGCGTTTAGCTGCTAAAGAGAAAGATGTTTCCCTCAGCAGCTGGTGGAGAGCAAAACAGAGCTGAAAGAGGGTGAATATCGGATCATTCATCAAGGTGGATGGATGTATGAATAGGCAACTGTTTGTTACCAAGCTCGCCAAATCAACTTGTGTTTACAGCTTGTTTCCGCTTCTCCCAAGTGGCCCCCCAAAAAATCAGTTTTTATAGGTTTAACATGCAAATAGACATGAAGGTGGAATCAGTTGTGTAATAGTCTGACATAAAAAAAATGTTTATGTAATTATTTTCATATTTCACCATTACCCTTCCCTATAGCTTCAACAACTAGTTTAAGTTGCCTAACTGTATAACACTTACCCAAGTTACTTGCACACAACATTATTAAGGACAGTAGTCACCCCCAGCATAACCTGTTCACACTTCTACCTTCAGAAAGCAAAGACAACAAGACTGAAAAACTGTTTTTTTCCCCCCACAGGCCATCAGGCTTGTGAATGACACTCACCCACTGCTCCTTCCCCCAACATTGCATACTGCCCTCTGATCTTGAGAGGCGCAATAATCCACCGATCTTGCTCACACACACACAAGCAACACATGCACATGGGCATGGACACAAACAACTACTGACAACCCACCTCTGTAGATTTTGCGCTGTCTTGTCATGTTTACAGGGCATATACATGCACAAGCACTTTGTGCACATTGTTATTTATGTCCTAGGGTGTTTAATTAATGTCTGATGTTGCGGGGAGGATTCACATAATTAGAATATCATTGCACTTTGTGACAATTGTTTTCCTTTTCCCATGCATATGACAATAAAAGTTTGAATTGAATTGAATAGTTTGGCATTTTGGGAAATCCATGCTTATTTGCTTTCTTGCTGAGAGTTAGATGAGCAAATTGATTGACACTCTCATGTCTGTGTGTTAGGTATTCAGCCAGAGCCAGGACTCAATTAGCTGAGCTTTGCACTGAAACGTTAGTCTGGCTCTGTCCAAAAAAAACCCAAACCCTGCTACCAGGACCTCTAAAGCCTAGTTCACACTCGTGACCTCATGACATATTGTAAATCATCAATACACAAACAGAAATGTAAAAACAACAAACTGTGGCTTGTTGTTTTGAAAACATTCCTTTAACCATTTGCTTATCTCTTCACAAGACTAATTCATGTTATGTCACACAATACAATATCTTTCCACGGACATAATCCTCTTTAGAGGTGTCTAGGCCAGAGGAACTGATCTGTTTTATCTCTAATATATTCCTCTCACCTCACGGCAGCTGGTGTTAAATGTTACTGTCATTCTTAAATTGCCCATCGATAGTGTTGCGTCTTACCAGCCCAGACCTGATAGGTGTCCCTCTCTCACCGGCATTATGAGAATCAGCCACAGTATAAGCAATGCAGAAAAGCATGACAGCTTTTTGTATAATTAGCTGCTTGTATACAAGAAGGAATCCAGAAAATGCTGACATGCATCATTAGCTGCAGATACACAGAAGAATCTCTGATTCATAATTTGCAGCAATAATGATTATCAAAGTTGTTGTTTTTTTTACTGATTATTTAAGACCATTTTTATGCCTCTTGAGGAAACTAATCAGCCACAGCATATTGTTAAATGTCGGGGCGCCAAACAAGGGATGGTATGTCTAATTTGAAGATAGCATAAATTAACAAGATATATGAGATGTATCTTACAGTTTCTAAGCTTGCTCAGGATGCACTGTTTCCACCTGCTGCTGTCTTCATAGTAAATATCATTAAAACAAACAAAGTGATTTCAGTTCACCAAATGTATCTTTTAGGCTGCCCTCAAATCATTCCTAGGAATAACAAATGTATGTTGCTGGCATCTTAAGCAATTCTTTCAGCTCTGCTGGGAAAGATCGTAAATATTTTGATGATTTTCTGGCACAGCCGAGAGCACCTCATTACAGCATGGTGAATAGTAGAATAAAGTACACTGGTAGTTGGCTCTTAGAAATAGATAGGGGCTTACTCATGCTGATGCAAACACCCATCATCAAACAGAGTCCATACATTTTGTCTAGGCAGCACTGACACACACACACACACACACACACACACACACACACACACACACACACACACACACACACTGTTTTTGTGATGTGCTAAATTTTAAGCACTTTATTTATATCCATCAAGCTAATTAGTGTGCTCAGGATCCAAATACTGAGAGGTTCTTACAATGTTTGGACAATTATAAATACATAAAGCGCCATCTGCTCTACACTGCCAGACTACCAGTGGCAGCTGAGATGGAGCGAAATTTTGCCAACTACCTACTTAGATACGAGCTATCATCTATGTGAATTTATAGGCTTTTGCAATACAGTGATTTATGTCAACTCAAACAAGGGAGTTCCAGTCTCCAGACAGCTGAAATAAGTGTGTGTTGTTTCATGTGGGTACTTTCTGCATTAAGACTTCAACAATAGCTGCCCCCCCCCCCCAATGTTACCCTGTTTATTAAACTATGGGAAAGTACAATTAGTACACAATAAGGCTTCCCCTGTGCTTAATAATCACTTCTCGCATAAATAATAAATGAACTTGTGAGGGAGTATAGCATAATGTATTGTGAAAATATACAGGAAAAGAGCACCAGCTTTTTGGTAAAAATACAAATGAGCAACAGTTGTTCAGTGGTGGTTCAGGGTGTGCTGCATCTTATCTCAGTTTACCATCTAATTTCATGTTTGCATGCATGATGAAGCTTTTGGGGAGGTATCTCATATCATGTATACTGAACCATTTGCATTTACATTTTAGTGTTACATTATTGTGGCATCATGCTGCCTCAACTACACTCCTTACTTTGAAATAATATATATTTTGCAATAATTTAAAATTCTATTTATTGATATAATTTCCCAAAAAGGCTCTGCTCTTGCTTGATTATTTGTACCAGCTAGAGCAGTGGTTCCCAACCTTTTTTTGCTATTTTACTTTTACTTTGTCTTCTTTCTGACTATTTTTTTCTGTCTAAATCAACTTACAATTGACTCAAGTTGGTGGAAACGGAGGCATGTCTTTTGATGAATTATAAGGATCAGCATCAGACAAATTTGTAACACAAATCATAATCTTAATTTTTTCACATTAGCTGAGCTGCAGAAGTACTCCTTGGGATACAAGTAGCCTACTCCTGGCTGGGAATCACTAACCTACAGTTTAGCAACGTGAACGTAGTTGCACTACAGACTGTTGTCATTTAGGTTTCATTCAGTAGGGGGCAGTACAGAGCACAATGCAGCGACTCCGCGGTCCATAAACAAACATGACATTTCGCGCCATCTTTGCAGGCGTATTGCCATCTGTGATGGTCGTATTCGGATTTTCCTTCACTCTCTTGAAAGAAGTCTTGTTTTTGTTACTTACCTGACGTCCTGCATCGACATAAATTCAGCCGAAATGTTGCCGAGACGCGCACCTGTACTTTCACAGACTCCTATTTTCAACACCACTCTGACAAACAACTTTGCTAACAGAGAATGTCTGAAGCTCATGTTTCACTGTAATTGCCTTCCACGACTGATGATAAGCGGTAAAATGGTCTTAAAAAAACCCTCACAAAGTTATTCTACAATTGATGTTTAAAGCCAGGACTAGAAAAGTCCACGCCATCCAGCTAGGAAGTACATACTTACAGAGTGGCCCTCTTTGCTTTTAGACTTATTAGAGTTATCTAACGTTACAACGCAATAAAGGACTGTATTATGAACAAGGACTGGCACTGAATGGACTCCAAGAAGACCTTCAAATAGTAAGTGCAAGTCATTGTTTGAACAATGCCAGTACAGTAGGCCCTATTTATGCTATGTGTGTCTTTACTTGTGGCTGTGGAGCTGGAACATGCAGACCTACTCTCACACAGTTGTATTTTCCTGAACTGTATTTGATGGGATGGCCGCCATGCCTGCAGTGTTTACCTCACCTGTACCTGTGCAGTTGTAAGCTGCATAGCCTTTTGTGATTACTGTCACTGTAAGAATGACTCGTTGTGGACTAGGTCTTTATGGGTAGCTTAGTACAGATTCTACATCTGTGGATGCATTATGTTTATTCTTTGTGGTCGCCATCACACCTAAATACTGCTTATCCCTGCTTACCACATCAGATCTTATTGATTATTTGGATGATTGTCTAAGTTCTAAGGAATAAGGAAATTTTAAGCAGGGTGAGGACTAAAGTCAAGAGCAATAGAGTATCAAAGAAAAGGATAGGGAATTTTGGCTTTTAAACAGATAAAAACATTTTGGACATTTCCATAAGTAGGCTAAGGATTGATACATAGTGGACTAAACTCTCAATGTTCAAGTCATGTTTTGCATTGTGGTGCATTCATTGCAAGTCATTGTTATGCATTATGCATCAGGTAGGTCTGTTTTGCATTTTGCCTTGCCATCACCAAGCCTATGTTGTCACTTTGCTTTTGTCTGTGGGTCTGTAAGCTGCAAATCCTGTTGTTATAGAACTACTGTAGGTCACGTTCACAGTTTTATTGTGTTGTGATCCAACCGGTCGAGGCAGATGGCCGCACACCCTGAGCCATGGTTCTGCTCGAGGTTTCTGCCTCTTAAAAGGAAGTTTTTCCTTGCCTCTGTCGCCTAGTGCTTGCTCTTGGTGGGAATTGTTGGGCTTCTGTAAATAACATCACAGAGTGCGGTCTAGACCTGCTCTTTTATGAAAAGCGCTGTGAGATAACTGTTTGGCGCTATATAAATAAAATTTATTTGACTTGTGTGACAAATTAATCGAAAGTAAATTAATGGAATTGTAGAAGGGAGGCCAAATGTGTTGTATAATATGTTACTCTTTTTTTGTATTGAACAGCATGTTCCTTGGTTATCAGAGTTTGTTATTGGATGTGAACGAGTACAATTCTTTTTCAAAATATTTTTAAGGTTTCTTATGTGTATATCTGGATTTCATAAATTCCAGTACCTACCTGCTGCCTTGACCTCACCTCTCTTGGGCCGTGTGGTCTCAGCCCTGTCTCACCCTTACTGTCTGCAGTTACTTGTAGTAGGTGGTATAAAGACAAAACAGCAGAAAAGAGAGTGGCTTGTCGCTGGACACAGGAGGTTTCTTTTACTGCCCACCAATATAAAGCTGCTTTTGTGATTCCTACAACCCCATTTAGTTTAGCAGCACAAACTTCCCTTTTGTATGGCTCTCTTAATTACACAATTGTGTTGAGTGCCACCTGATTTTCTTTTTTGTTTTTTTTGTTTGTTTTTGAAACAATGCGGATGGTGCCAAAATGTCCAGGCTTGGCCATACAAAGGGAAACTGGAAGCATTTGCTGATTCCAAAGGGATTATTGTTATTTTCTTGTTAAAGAGGTGCAAAAAGCTGAATTTTTCTGATAGCACCGCTACTGAGGATTTCAGGCACGCTTATGTACTGAGAGGTGTGAGAATGCCAAAGTGCACATAAGACAAGTCTGCAACCCAGGCTGTGTCGTCAGTGTGAGCCAAGTCTCGGCCCACATGTCCACTTACGACGCTCCCAGCACTTGACATTGCTTCACTCAAAATTTCATGTTCCAAGGGCATGTAAAGGTTGCAGATATTTATTGATAGGTGCTGTTTCTAAATTAGATTTGGACTGAAGAGTAGTCCCAGACTTTCTTCCATGCTGCTGCACTCCGTAATTTGTCCCTTTGCTGAAAAAGACATGCCTTGTAATTATTTGGAAACTGAATCCAGCAAGAATTATTTTGTTCATGGTGGAACGGTAGACGATGGGTGAAGCAGGTGGAAGTCGGACCGGGATCTTTTATGAGCAAACGTCAATCAAAAAGACACCTGGCAGTTCATTAGGCAACGGTTCTTTCAGGCTGCTTAAATTTGCATAGACAACTTGAGCTCTCCTTTCAACGTGTCCCTCTCGCCGCTTTGCTTGCAAATGCTCACCTTCCCACAAGCCTTGCAACATAAGTACAGGTGTCCTTGTCCAAATGAATAGAGTATGTAACTTTGCATGTGAGTTTTGTTGCTAGTGGACATTTTACAATTGGTTTTCCTTGGTGTTAACTTCTTAAACCCTGCTGGATCCACCGGGGGGGTTGTGATCATTAAAATGCGTGGTGCAAGAACAAGCACTGTTCAAAACCCCCAGAAGTTTCTTCTAAAGACACCTAATATGTCTGTGTCAGGGTGATGAACAGAAATGATGCACAAGATGCAGCTTGAGTTAAAATGTCTCTTTGAGGACATGAAACGCACAGTATATGTAGCATCATACTAGGGCTGGGCAATAAATCAATAATGATAATTATCGCAATATAATTTTCCTCAACAGCAATATAACAAATGTTCAATATATCGTCACTAAAAAGTAAGATTTAGTTACTTTGAATCATGAACAAATTAGCACTTCAATTTTCTATTAAGATATTTATTTTGTTGAGGAAAAGGGATTTTTTTACTTATTTTTACTCAAGCATATAAAGAAAAGATCTCCATTGTTTTGAATATTCTTCCTCAGATTTGTGAGTGAAGTGATCCACTGGCTAGTTTTTGTCATGTTCTGATCGTAAAGAACAGTTAAAACCACAATTAACCATCTGGTTCCTACAAAAAGCAAAAATCACCCTTTTAACTTGAAAGACGCAATGATTTGACATTTATCATGATAATTGTCAATATTGAATGCTATGAAATGTTTTATTGTGATAAAATCTTTGGCCATATTGCCTAGTGCTACATCATACAGAACATAATAACTCTTTTATTTGCTGCTAAATAGGACAATTAAAGCACAATAAGAATTCATGCAGTTAAGGGTGTGTAAAAGTGTTCAAACTATTGTACAAAAAAACAAATGCACAGAGCCCTGCTACTATTATGATGCTCCCAAGTACCCATAAGTCTTGGTGGAATCTGAAGATTTTGGTAGCTTAATTAGGACATTAGGTGGAGGTAGGTACATCAGCCATGGCTCTTTTTGTTAATATAGTTTATTGAACATCCATAAAGGTGGCATAATGCAAATGACCTACAGTATATCAGTGTTACTAGTTTTTGTTACTAAGCACAAAAGCAATTGGGCCCTTATTTCTAGTCTGCTCTAAATAACTGTAAATCGTAAATAAATTTAAAGCATCAATAACCAAAGCTAATGTTTTCTAATCACAAACTGTAAAAGGGATGCTGTTTTGTGGTCTCATTATTGATAACACCCACAACCCTGTTTTTTTTTTTATTGGTTTTGACCTGACTTAACCAATCTGCAGAATCTCTTCTTCAGTGTACTCTGGTTGGAAAAGGTGTCCACTTGTGTCCACAGCAAACGGCATTCCGTCGCCGTCATAGTCGCTCATTTAAATGCTCTTTCATTTGTTGTCTCTTCCATAAACCACTGAAAGGCTGACCCAAACAGCTGATCTCTGGCGCCGTAGTACAGTGTGCGTAGCAATATGGAAGTTCTGCGGTTGAGAAAATGTAGTTCCAAAAGAGATGGCTAGGTAAACTGCTGAAAACTCTGAGCGCCATCTACTGCAGGTAATCACTGACTATGGATGAGTACCTTATACAGCCCCACTTCAGAAATGATGCAGATTATGACAGCTCATTGATGGATCAGCTGTTCCTGTAGCTCTTTTTATTTAGAGCACGGTGAGGTCTCTAGTAACAGCTTATACTGTATGTATGTCATATCACAAACATATATATTAATATACCACACTACATTTCATTTTAAAAAGCACAGTGTGTTGTCTTGCCATCATACAGGCAATATTAGCTCCATACAGTAGGCCTGTATTATATATTTCTAGCCATATCACTAGCAGAAGCTCCAAAAAGTGTATAACCAACATATTTTGTTTGCTGCATTTGTAACAAATAAGTATGCAGCCTCATTTTCACACTTTTTTAAGGAAAGCCCTGAGGATTATGGTATTGATGTAAAAAAAATTGCAGCTAAGATAAGCTTAGAAGATTTATAAGTTCAAATACGTTTGCTATGATAATATGACTTTTGCTACTTTTTTATTAATTGCATAATCCTATATAGAACCGACCTGATTAGTTAACCAGAGAGCTCTGTTTAACATTAGCCCTCTGAAATGTCTCCTCTTGACGAACTGACCTTTGTTTAACTCTGAAGATGGTAGCAGTGTGGTCAAGATCGATTTGTTTCGGAACTGTTTTCAAGTGTGAAAAGCTTTGAGTGTGAAAAGATCTTAGTAAAAAAAACCAAACAAGTGGAGTGCTGTGTCTGTGATATGGAGATTGTTTCTTCACAGATGACTTTCATTGAAGGCAGAGGTTTAAAATGCACCGCGCACGGGTGACTTACAAAATATTACTCTGTATTTATGAAGCCAGTTTGAGTGTAATTGATTTCTTTGGCTTGTACTTGTTCATCGAGTCTAACCTTTTGAAATTTCATGCATAGTAAGCACAGGCACAAAGAGCACACACTCGCACATTATCTGCTTTTGTCCTGGAATTTACACCTTCTTTTTTTCCTGGCCATTTTTTTGCACTGTGAGTTAGCGAGCCAAGAGTGACAGATGCTCTGTTGACAAGACAGCTGCCAGCACTCAATCTAGCAACTGGGTCAAATCCTTCTGACATACTTGACAAGTCCCTGCCATGAGGGCTGTGCCACTGTCCCCCCAGGCTTTGCAACTTACCTATGCGTCACCTGTGCTCCCTGGAGGCCTTTGAGAGGACCTTAGGGACCTTGTAGTAGATTCTCCTGTGGTTCAGATTTGGCAGTCACATACCCATGGACAGGAGACGAGACTTT